TTCCAGATGAAGTGTTATTCCTAGAAATACCTTGCCTGCAATTCCTTTATAGATCTCCAAATTTACCACGATTAAAACATTTGTTAGGTTGATGTCCCCTCATCACTTTATAAATTGCTAACCCTACCCAATATTCATCATTGTCATTCGAGGTCTTAAAAATTAAAAATAATTTCCTCAATCCTTTCGAATTTTTGAACCATTGTCTTTCTTCAATTTTGAATCTCCTTACCTGCATGTGTCTCTAGGGATTCCAGTAAGGTGTCAATTTTTTGTTCCCCATTCTGCACCCGTGAGTCCAAGGTCTTCATGTTTCCTTTGAAAGAGAATATATCGGGGCTGGAGAGATGGCTCAGTGGTTAGAGCACGGCCTGCTCTTCCTGAGGTCCTGAGTTCGAGTCCCGGCAACCCCATGGTGGCTCACAACCGTCTGTCATGAGGTCTGGCGCCCTTTGCTGGCCTGCAGGCACACACACAGAAGATTGTATACATAATAAATAAATATAAAAATTAGAATATTGCATACATAATAAATAAATATAAAAATTAGAATATTGTATGCATAATAAATAAATATAAAAAGAATTACAATATTGTATACATAATAAATGAATAAATGTAAAATTAGAATATTGTATACATAATAAATAAATAAACATAAAAAGTAGAATATTGTATACATAATAGATAAATATTTTTAAAAAAAGATAATATCTCCTCCTCGAACTGTCCCTGGATATCATGTAAGTTACCATCCTGGAAGTATTTCCTGTCCGTTTCTTTATCAAAACTCCGCCATAACTTATGAAGGTCAAATTCAACATTGTGCAACCTTTCAGGTAAATTCCTAGTACCATTAGATAAAAAGTCAATTTGGCCTATCATGGAATTTGTGCTATCTATTGATGCCACATACATCCACAATGATATAAACTAAGGAGGAGACTGAAACTTAATAAGTCAATAGAGGAACCTCCAGGGTCCTATAGGCCACTTGTGATTTCCACCAAGGTGGCAGCAAAAGACATGGCCTGAGTCCCATTGAAAAATAAACCTGCAATTTAACTGTCAGCCAGGAGGTGGCGCTGTTTCTAAGTTGCAACTGGAACCGCAACTTTATATATATACTTTATATATATATAATATATAATAAATTCTGTTATTTATATATATAAATCCTTTATATATATCTTTTATACATAATATATATATATATAATAAATCCTGTTATTTGTTGAAATCCAGGTAAAAACGAGTCCATTGAGAGGTCACAGAGAGAAAATCCCTATGCAGAGGGTTGTGACCCAGCCGCTGCACTGCTGATAAATAGTCCGAGTGCTGTGGGCCCTGTGTCCCTGGATTGGGAGTAAGGGTCCCAGTGCTTGCGATCAGTTGCGGCATGGTTGCTGTAAATTCAATTTAAATATATATATATATATAATATATATTTTAATATATATATTTTTAAAATGCTGCAAGATCCCCAATTCAAAGGGAGATTTTTTGCTTAAGTGGTTTCTATCTTTGGCAACCGCTTGCGCTTGAGCTCTTTGAGTCCCGTGGCAAGGGGAAACTTAAAAACCTGATCAGTATAGATCAATTTTTTTTGTTGCAGAGACTTTCCATACCTGTGGGTCCCCGGAGGTGTGGAGGTTATTTATATTTTTATATATATATATATATTTAAAATATTTAAGTATTAATATATATTATATATTTATATTTAAATTTAAAAAATATGTTTAAAATATATATTTAAAATATTAATATATAGTTAAATTTAAATTTAAAATATATATTTAAAATATATTTAAAATATTTAAATATTAATATATATTTATATTTAAATTTAAAAAATATATATATTTAAAAACTGCAAGATCCCCTGCGACAGTAGGCGGCAGAAATGCTGTAGGTTCCAAATGGTGGTGGTGGGCAGTGGGCTGTGGGAGCATCCGGTCGCAGGCAGAGGTGGATGTCTGTCCTTGTGCAGTGCCTGGTACTGGGCAGGGAGACACATGGCTGGCGGTTTGGTATCATGGTAACACTGTTGCTTAATAGAAAGCTTTGCAGTGACTCTTCTGTTTCTATTATGTGACACGCTTTAATGAGTTTAGGTGTCAGCTCTTTTTGGAATTTCTGGTAAAATTCTGCATTAAAACTAATTGGTCCTGTGCTTTTCTTGGTTTGCAGGTTTTTTACGACTGCTTATATTTCCTCAGCGCTTCACGGTCTATTTACATTGTTCCCTTTGTCTTATTGAATTTTGTTAGATGTTATTTATCTAAAAACAAGTCCATTTATTTTACATTCTCCAACTTATAGGAGACATATAGGTCTTTGTATTATAATCTAATTATTTCTAAATATTCACAGTGTCTGTTATGTCCCCCGTTTCATTTCTTATCCTGTTAATTTGTGTATTCTCTTTCTGTACCTTTTTATTACATTGGATAAGTTGTTTTTTTATTTACTTTTTTATTTATTAATTGTCAATCTTGTTTTTAATCAAATAACCATTTCTTTGTTTCATTGATTTCTTTGGATTGTTTTCTGTGTTTATATTTTGTTTGTTTCGGTCCTCTGTTTGATAATTTCCACCCTTCTACTCCTGGGTCAGAATGCTTTTTTTCTATAGCTTTCAGCTGTGCTGTTAGTTGTCTAATGTGTGTTTTCTCCGTTTTTTTAAATATTTATTTATGTATTTATTATATATATATATATAATATTCTGTCTGTGTGTATGCCCACACACCAGAAGAGGGCACTAGACCCCATGACAGATGTTTGTGAGCCACCATGTGGTTGCTGGGACTCGAACTCAGGACCTCTGGAAGCGCAGGCAGTGCTCTAACCACTGAGCCACCTCTCCAGTCCCTTTTCTCCGTTTTTGTAATGTGGGCACTTACTACGATGAATTTTCCTCTTAGCGCTGCTTTCGGTTTGGTTATTTATGTCTTTATTTTCATTGAATTCAAGGAAGAGTTTAATTTCTTTCTTTATTTCTTCCCTGACCCAGGGATGGTTTACCAGTTGACTGTTCAGTTTCCATGAGTTTGTCGGTTTTCTGGTGTTATAATTGTTGTTATACTCTAACTTTGATCCATGTTGATCTGATTAGGCTCATGTGCTCGCAAATTTTTTTTAAATGTTTATTTATTATGTATGCAATATTCTGTCTGTGTATATGCCTTCAGGCCAGCAGAGGGCACCAGATCTCATCACAGATGGTTGTGAGCTACCATGTGGTTGCCGGGAATTGAACTCAGGACCTCGGGAAGAGCAGGCAATGTTTTTAACCACTGAGTCATCTCTCCAGCCCCACCCCCCTTTATTTATTCATCCATTTATTTATTTATTGATTGATTGATTTTCGAGACAGGGTTTCTCTGTAGCTTTTGGTTCCTGTCCTGGAACTAGCTCTGTAGACCAGGCTGGCCTCGAACTCACAGAGATCCTCCTGTCTCTGCAAATTTTTTTTTTGTCATATTAAATTCACTTTTTTTTTTTTTTTACCAAGTATGTGGTCAATTTTCTAGAAGGTTCCTTGATATGCTGAGAGGGTATATGCTTTACTATTAGGGTTGAATGTTCTACAGATGTCTGTTAAGTCCGTTTATTTCATTATCTCCATTATTCCTCTTATTTCTCTGTTATGTTTCTGTCTGGTTGACCTGTCCATTGTTGAGATGAGTGCTGCAGTCTTCTACTATTAGATTAATATTAGATTTCTAGTAATGTGGGTGCTTTTATATTACTGAAATTTATATTTTGTATTCATACTTCACGCTGATGAAATATTCCTGCTATGAGTATAAAGTTTCCATCTTATTGTCTTTTGATTGCTTTAAGTTTGAAGTCACTTTTGTTATATATTACTAATTAGTATTAGACCTTTTTCCTTTACTGCTGTTTATATTCTTTTCTTAATACTGTATCTTTTGTGTTTGGATTATTATGTAGTGGGGTTTTTTTTTTTCCAGTCTATTTGTTGTTCCGTGTGCTTCTTGTATCTTAATAGTAATTTTATTTTTTATGTTGTGAATGATTTATTCTATAATTTTGTTTAATCTATTTCCTCCATTTCAGTTTTCAAGTCTCGAATTTTTTCCATTACCGGTTTGATTGCTTTTTCTTGGTTTCCTTTCCTAGGGTATCTTTGGATAAAATAAAATCATGCGATTCTGCACAAATCCTGTTAGCTGAGTCTTGGCTGCTCGGTGCGATCTTTGCTGTGGCTTCCTCTGTGCTTGTGGTATTTTCTTGGTCTGCCTACTCTTATTTTTCTTATTTTCTTAGCTCTGGAGTCTCCTTTATCCACTCCACCCTGGCGTAGGCTGTGGTTGTGGTAAAATTTTAAATTTAAAAAAAAAAACGAATTTTACCTCAACACCCTACAGATGGATAGGAGTCCTTAGTGGAAAGCTCGGATGGGATAAATAGAGAAATTCAGGAGAAATTTAGGGTAATTTGGGTTTTTTTGTTCTGTGTTCCCAGGGCAGGGCGCTCACTCACCCCTCCCGAGGGCTGGGACTTCTGTTATAATTATATATGTTATTTATATAGTTATATAGTTATATATGGCCGCTTGCTGGCCAGGGACCTCGCAGACAAAAGGGCGTGCTTGCTTGGGTGCTGGCTCACTGTGACAAAATTAATTACTGCAACAGTTGCCCTCACTCCTTTGTCCCCAATTCCCCAGTCCCCTTTCATTTTTTTTTTTAATATTTATTTTATTTATTTATTATGTATACAATATTCTACTTCTTTTTATATTTATTTATTATGTATACAATATTCTAATGTTTATATTTATTCATTTATTATGTATACAATATTCTAATTTTTATATTTATTTATTATCTATACAATATTCTTGTTTATTTATTATATATACAATATTCTAATTTTTATATTTATTTATTTATTATGTATACAATATTCTGTCTGTGTGTATCCCTGCAGGCCAGAAGAGGGCGCCAGACCCCATTCCAGATGGTTGTGAGCCACCATGGGGTTGCCGGGACTCGAACTCAGGACCTTTGGAAGAGCAGGCAATGCTCTAACCACTGAGCCATCTCTCTCCAGCCCCCTCCCCTTGCATTTTTGTATTATGGAGTTTTTATTTCCTCACTTTGAGGCCGACTTGCTGGTGATCACAACAGCACTCGGGAGGCAGAGGCAGGCGGATCTCTGTGAGTTCGAGGCCAGCCTGGTCTACAAAGGGAGTTCCAGGACAGGCTCCAAAGCTACAGAGAAACCCTGTCTCAAAAACACAAAAAACCAAAAAAACAAAAAAAAAAAGAATGAGAATGTAAAAATGTGACTTTGCAGGGTTCGAGCCACTCGGGAAATTAAAAGTCGATGTTGATAGGAAGAAGTCAGAGTCAGAGAAAAGTAATGGAGCTGGAGACATATGCTGGAACTTTACAAGGGAAGACAATATACAGATGAATGGAGATGAATTAATTTATGATTTAGCCATAAATACGCTTAAGCTATTGTCCAATGCGTATTCCAGGTAATATGGTTCCTGTTTTATTATTTAGGTCTGAGCATCCGGGAATATTCCAAGTAAAATGGTTTCTGTTTTATTATTTAGGTCTGAGCATCCGGGAATATTCCAAGTAATATGGTTTCCATTTTTTATTATTTAGTTCTGAGCATCTGGGAACAAACCAGCAGCCTCCCTACCATATCCATTCGGTCCTCAGAGGAAGGAAGGCATTTTCATCTTCTGATGTCTAATTTCTTTTTTTTTTTAATATTTATTTATTTCTTATGTATACAATATTCTAATTTTTATATTTATTTATTATGTATACAATATTCTAATTTTTATATTTATTTATTTATTATGGATACAATAATCTGTTTGTGTGTATGCCTGCAGGCCAGCAGAAGGCACCAGACCTCATTACAGATGGTTGTGAGCCACCATGGGGTTGCCGGGACTCGAACTCCGGACCTGGGGAAGAGCAGGCTGTGCTCCTAAACACTGAGCCACCTCTCCAGCCCTGATGTCTAATTTCTCTAGCTCTTTATATATTTTGGAGATTCCTTTGGACATTAGTTTTGTGCATGTTGATGGATATGGATCTGGTTTCATTCCTCTCCATGTTGACATACAGTGATGCCAGCACCATTTGTTGAAGATGCTTTCTTTATTTCATCGTATAATTTTAGCGTCTTGGTCAAAAGTCAGCTGAAGTTCTTTTATTTATTTATTTATTTATTTATTTATTTATTTATTTATTTATTTATTTTTCAGCTGAAGTTCTGTGTGGATGACTATCTGGGGTTTGATTTGATTCCAGTGGTCAACATCTCTGTTTTTAGGCCAATAACAAGCTGTTCCCATGACTGTGTCTCTGTCATGGAGGTTGATGGATTGTCATTCCCTTGGAAATTGGTTTTTCGATATTGATTTTTTTTTCGATATTGATTTTTGTTCTTTAAACTGACATTAAGAATTTGTTGGTGTTTTGGTATGGATTCCATTTAATATTTAAGATTGCCCCTGGAACTTACTTTCCTGTACAGGATTCTTTGGTCCATCCTTGGTTTTTCGATATTGATTATTGCTCTTTAAACTGACATTAACAATTGGTTGGTGTTTTGGTATGGATTCCATTTAATCCATAGATTCCTTTTGGGCAGATTGCCATTTTTATTATGTTTATCCTCTCTATCTAAGCACACGGGGAGATCTTTCCATTTCCTGGTGTCTTCTTCAATTTCTCTCACCAAAAGCTAAAAGTTAATTTCGTGGATGTCTTTAACTTTGGTTAGTGTTACCCTGTATTCATCTATTGATTCGCGGTCCCTGGGTGTGTGTCTCATGCAAATCAGTCCACGGGGTGAAGAGTATGAACAAAAGTGTAATAAGATTCATTTAGTATGGCATTTTATTTTATTTTTTTATTTAATTTTTTTAAAGTAACACACTTTATTTTTTTATTTTAGTGTGGCATTTTATTTTATTTTATTTAAAGTAACACAGTTTATTTTTTATTTTAGTATGGCATTTTATTTTATTTTATTTTTTTATTTTTTTTAAAGTAACACACTTTATTTTTTTTATTTTAGTATGGCATTTTATACAGAGTAAAAAGCAGTACGTTAACTTTGAACCCCCTCCCTTATTCACATAAACGGTCATGAGAAACTCTCGCCTCTCCATGCCAGCAACAATACCTCAATTAATAACACTAATAAAAATGAAAATAAATACATAGAAATAAGGCAAAAAGATTACAGAAGCAAAGCACTCTTTTATTACTGGTAGTGTGTGAAGAACTGAGCTCAAAGTGCATTCCTTAATCCAGGTTTCTCATTCAGACATAACGTTTGAAAAATGGGCAGAGAAAGTTTGCTTTCATCTATGCTTGGTTTGCAATACAACATTTTCCCAGCTTCTTCTCCTCTGACCCAGGAGGAGCCTGCACTTTGAGCTGGTTCTGTGTCTCCACAATTTCATAGTTTATTTTTAACAATTTCATCATTTTTTATTGTTATTTGAATTCCAATGGAGTTTTAACCATAAAGTATGTAATTATTATGTTTAGTCTAATATAAAACTGATACATAATCAGACATAAAAAAATATAAGCATGATTATGATAATCATACCACTGGAGGTATGAAGAATGCTTTGTAAGAATCCCTTAAGATCTAATTCTGCCAATTTGTCATCAAAAATTTGTTCAATGTTCAAGGGTTATGGTTTAGCAAAATTCCCATGTAAGTGATCATTGAAAGATTGAGCAGAGGCATTGCACAAAATATAAGGTGGAATATCATTCCATTCCCGTAAAAAAAAAAACCATTATAACCCAAATCAGTGATGCAAGTAGTGGTTAAATTCCAATCACAACACAAAGTAATTTAATTAGTTCCTGCAACGATACAAGCTTTTTTTCTCGGCGAACCCACAGTTTGCTTTAGTACATCAAATGTTTGATTATGTATCAGTTTTATATTTGGACTCTGTCCAAAGTCGAGCATATATTTTAACTTTCTGAAACTAGTTTATGAGAATATTCCATTGCTCTACAAAGTCTTTTGTCTGCAAGCATGTATGTAAAGTAATACCAGCCATATGTGCAGTATCAACAACAGAAACAAGGACAGTAATTACAGCTGTTACTAAACCTAACATCAACTTTGTTCTTTTTTATATCTTATTGAAGAATTCAACAAAAATATGATCTATACAAATTTGATCCCAAGCATGACCTGAGTTTACAGGCTGCTAAATTTGTGTATGTTGCTCTAGTATCATAAGTGGTGATGAGGATTAATTGCTAGTCATTAAAACTAATTCCAGTAGTACAATTATTTCTTTCAAATAATAATACATATGGTAGTGGCACAGACGCAGTAACATAATTACTTCTAAATAATGTAAATATATAAGTAGAAGTGGATACTTGGGTTCCAACTAATGATCCATTAAAAACCTGAACAGGTTTTACGTTGGATACGATTTGCCAATTATGCATCTGTATTGCAGCTTTCACTCTGTTTTTTATTTTATTTTATTTTTTCATTTATTTATTTATTTATTTTGATTTTTCGAGACAGGGTTTCTCCGTAGCTTTTGGTTCCTGTCCTGGAACTAGCTCTTGTAGACCAGGCTGGCCTCAAACTCACAGAGATCCGCCTTGCCTTCTGAGTGCTGGGATTAAAGGCGTGCGCCACCACCGCCCGGCTTTATTTATTTATTTTTTTTAATTTTTTTTAAAATTTATTTATTTATTAAGGATTTCTGCCTCCTCCCCGCCACCGCTCTGACTAAGGCAATAAGATCATCACTGATTCCTCCATCTCCCCATGCCAGACAACAGCTTCCATTTATCATTTTATTACTGGCTCTATTCATCCTGGTATCATTAAGCAAATCACAAGTGGTAATATTCCTTTCAATATATTCATTTATTCAATTTATTCAATTTATTAACAAGTGTTAATAAATTCACCATATGGTCGACAGTTGATCCATTTAGTTTGAATTATTTTCCAAATTTGCCGACAGAAATTTTCCAAATAAGTGGCTGATATTTTAACCTATAATATTTAAAATCTGGATATAGGGGATATGCAAATTCATTATTTTCAGTGTTATTATCCCAGGTCTCAGTAATGGACTATGCTCAGAGTCTTTGAGGATGAGTGCCAGATTTTCCCATTTTAATACCAGGTTGTGACCGCTGCTGAAATCCCATTGAAAACCCAGGACCGTTTCCAAATCGTATTGGCTCCCTGTTATCCATAAAATTAATATATGGAGTCCCATCAAAATTATTCAGATAAATCAAATTAACTTCCATCTGATCCCCATCTGAAGAGACAGACAGCAGAGCGCTCAGGGCCCGAGAATGATGTTCAGCCATCATAGGTATTGTGTGCTGCTGGACAATAATCTGAACCAAAGCTGCAAGAGATTTCACCTGGGGCTCGAGAGATGGCTAAGTGGTTAGGCCACTGCCTGCTCGTCCAGAGGTCCTGAGTTTGAGTCCCGACAACCACATGGTGGTTCACAACCATCTGTAGTGAGATCTGGCGCCCTCTTCTGGCCTGCAGGCGTACACACATAATATTGCATACATCATAAATAAATATAAAATTAGAATACTGTATATATAATAAATAAACATAAAAATTAGAATATTGTATGCATAATAAATATAAAATTAGCATATTGTTTGCATAATAAATAAATATAAAATTAGAATATTGCATGCATAAAAAATATAAGATTCGGATATTACATACATAATAAATATAGAATTAGAATATTGTGTGCATATTGAATATAAAATTAGCATATTGTATACATAATAAATAAATATAAAATTAGAATACTGTTTACATAATGAGTAAATATAAAATTAGAATACTGTTTACATAATAAATAAATTTTTTTTTAAAAAAAAAAGATTTCTCCTGACCCCATGTCGATTAGGACGAGGACCGACTTCATCACGGTCGCTTCCACAGAGAGAATTGTGCCATTCGGCATTTGTGGTGTTTATAAAACTTTTCTTTACGGGTTAAAATACGCGCATGCAGCGTATTGAGGAAATTTTATAGAAAATGCTTGATGTGAACTGGCTCTCACATCATTTTGAAAACCCCACATTCCATACTGTGATGTTCCTTTTTCCTGGTTTTTGATTTTTTTAATTTGTTTTAGTGTATCGTGGACATATTTAACAGTAGCTTGTTCTTGTGGATTATATTCAATACCTGTAACAGGAGCAATGATATATGATTCACAGAACCTAGGAAATTCTTTGGAATTATATAACTGTTTTCGTGAAGGGGAACACACATGATAGAAAAGGCTTTTAATAAATGTGGAATAACTTGTGTGCTCTCCAGCTAAAGGAGTAGCCCACATAAATGATCAAAGAGTATCTATGGTTAATTGGAGGAAAGATAAACGTCCAAATTCTGTAATGAGTAAAAACCATTTGCCAAATTTCGTTTGATTGAGATCCTTGAGGAATAGCATGG